GGAGAGATGGCTCAGTGGGTAAGAGCACTGACTGCTCTTGCAGAGGACCTGGGTTCGATTCCCAGCACTCACATGGTGGCTATGAACCGTCCTTAACTCCAGTTCCAGGGGAATCCGAAGCCCTCTTCTGACTTCTGCGGCATTGCACGACACGGGTGCACTCACATACGTGCAGGCAATACACTCATACATGTAAAATAAAAATAATAAAATATATTTTTTTAAAGTATATCTTAAAGTGTATGTGTGTGCGAGCGTATGTTGGGGGGGCGTGGTACGTGAGCCAATGTCTTCTCTGTGGTGGTTAGAAGATAACGTGATGGAATTGGTTCTCTACTTCCACCATGTGGGTCCCAGGGATCAAAGTCAGGTTGTCAGACTTGGCAGCAAGTGCCTTAACCCTCCAAGCCATCTCTCCAGCCCCAAGGAGAGTGTGTTTTTAGTGTGTTTGACTTTGCATTGTTAGATTTTTAGTAGCATTTCTGACCTCTATCTGCTTATGCTAGTTATATATCTTCCCTGCTTTTGGTGCTGAACCCAGGGCCTTGTGACTGACTGTTCTTTACCACTGAAGTACATCTTCTAGTCTCTTCTCCCTTTTTTGTGACAACCAGAAATATGTTCAGACATTGCCCAGTATTTTTTCTTTTCTTTTTTTTCTTTTGGTCTTTTTGAGACAGGATCTCCCTGTAGATCCAGCTGACCTGGAATTCACTGTGTAGACCAGGCTGGCCTCGAATTCATAGAGATCCACCTGCCTCTGCCTCCCGAGTGCTAGGACTAAAGGCATGGGCCACTGTGCCCGGCCCAAGGTAGCATATAAATTGCCCCAGTCAACAATAACCGGAATAGGTTTGCTTTGTAGTTGTTTTATTGATTTTCTTAGAAGAGCTGGGATTGCATGTCTTATGTAAAATATGTGAGAATGTACAAGACTAAGATATTTTTGAAGAAGTAGGTCAATGTGATAGAAAAGATCTACCAGATACTTTGATTTATATAAGCTATGGTTAAGACAGCTTCTTACTAGCAGAGTAAATAGACTTATATAGAAGTATAGAAAATTTCAATCAGCCTTACATGAGCCCAGAAACTTAATTTCTTTCTTTGTTTTTGTTTTAAAAAGTGGTGCTCAGGGGGCTGGAGAGATAGCTCAGTGGTTAAGAACACTGGTTATTCTTGCAGAAGATCCAGGTTCGAATCCCAGCACGCACATGGCAGCTAACAACTGACCATTAACTCCAGTTCCAGGGGATCTGATGGCCTCTTCTGCCCTCGCGGGCATTGCACGACATGGGTGCACTTACCTACATGCAGGCAATACACTCATACATATTTTAAAAAAGTAATAATAAATAAAATATTAAAAAAAAAAACCCTGGTGTTCACAATTGAACTAAGGGCCTCAGTATTTGTATTTCCAGCTTCTAGAAAGTTGGTATTTTATAGAATTACTCTTAGAAAACTTAAAAGGAAAGAGACTTTTCTGAAAATAGTGTTGGGGGTATTAGATACCTATATGGAAAAAACTGAAGTTGGAGCTATACTTTACAGCACACACAAACATTCATTCAAAGTAAATGAAACCTCTAAGTGTGGAGGGCAAAGACTATGAGGATTACAAATGTAATTGTTTTCCAATAATGTTCCTAAGACTCCAGGAAGAATGATGGCTTGGGAGGAGAAGGGAACACTGGATCATGTTTTATTTATTTTTATTTTTTATGTATATTAGTGGATTGCCTGCATGTATGTAAGTGCACCTGTGTTCTGCAGTGCCGATGGAGGTCAGAAAAGAGCATTGAATCTGGCATCTGGAGTTAAGGACAATTGTCAGCTGCTATGTGGGTGCTGGAAACTGAATCCGGGTCCTCCGCAAGGGCAACCAGTGCTCTTAACCCTTGAGCAGTCTCTCCAGCCCAAGATCTAGGTCTTTAATCCCTCTTTGAAAATATTAAGTATTATTTCTTTTTTAAAAAAATACATTATTATTTTAATTTTATGTGTATAAGTGTATTTCCTGCATGTATGTGAGTACACCTGTGTCGTGCAATGCCTCGGGGGTCAGAAGAGGGCTTTGGATTACCCTGGAACTGGAGTTAAGGACAATGCCATGTGGGTGCTGGGAATCGAACCCGGGTCCTCTGCAAGAGCAGTCAGTGCTCTTAACCTCTGAGCCCTCTCTCCAGCCCCAGTATTATTTCTTTAAAAAATATTCTTATTCAGGACCTGTGGAGATTGCTTAGCCGGTTACCACTTGCTGTGTAAGCATGAGGACCTGTGTTTGGTTCTCAGAACACATGTAAAAGTTTGGGTAGTGGGGTGCATCTGAAATCCCAGCACTAAAGAGGCAGAGATGGGAAGCTCCTTGGAGCTTGCTCATCAGACAGTCTGGCCAATCAGTGAGCTCTAGGTTCAGTGAGAGGCCCTGTGTCTAAAAATAAGGTGGAGAAGTGATTGAGGACTATTGAACTCTATTTTCTACTCATGGGTATACATATGCATGTCCACACATACACACACACATGTGAACTCACACTATCATACATATATTCTTATTTTATAACATGCACAAAACCAAACCAAACCAAAGCTCCTGAAAAGCTGTACCATATGGCATAGATTCCCTCTGTCTTTATAGGTCATATGTGTTGGTCCTGCTTGTATGAACCTGTCTGCCCTGTCTGTAAATCTTTTCAGTCCAGTTTCTCTTTCACTATGTTTCATTGTATTTGGTCATTTCATGAACTCAGTGTAATAGCTAATTGCTAAATGAATTCAAGCCACAGAAGTGAACAGAGTGTGTAGAGAGAGAGGCAGAGAAGAAAGGTACCTTTAAGAAAAGGTACATTAGGGTTGGAGAGATGGCTCAGTGGTTCAGAGCACTGACTGCCCTTGCAGAGGACCCAGGCTCAATTCCCAGCACACACATGGTGGCTATGAACCATCCTTAACTCGGGAATATGAAGCCCTCTTCTGACCTCTGTGGCATTGCACGACACGGGTGCACTCACATACATGCAGGCGATACACTCATACACATAAAAAAAAAAATTTAGCTGGATGTGGTTGGCGCATGCCTTTAATTCCAGCACTTGGGAGACAAAGGCAGGTGGATCTCTGTGAATTCAAGGCCAGTCTGGTCTACATAGTGAGTTCCAGGACAGCTGGTGCTACAGGGAGACCCTGTCTCAAAAAGACCAAAAGAAAAAAAAGAAAAGGTGCATTAGAAAATGGGAGAAGCTGGTTGGTCTGTAGGACAGTTAAGATGAGTGTTATAGACATTGAAGAAAAGGAAATGTGTTTGCCATGTTTCCAGAAGACAAAGTGTTGTGTTTGACTGTAGGCTTTGAGATGATACTTTTGAAATAAAGTAGCAAATCTGTTGTATCTAAGCTCTGCAACTTAATAGCTGTGTAATGTTGAGCAAATTTCTTGACTTCTTTAAAGTGTTCACATTGTAAAATGGAAATAATTATTATAATTTAGTAGTTAAGAAATTGTTGATGGCCTTAAGAATAAACTTTCAGGATTGTGAGACTAAGATATGCATTTTATTCTGTAATTAACATTTTTAGCCTAAAGAATACGATGAAGCTTTGTTGGAAAGGAACATTGAGAGTTTTATAGAAATGAAATAACATTTATTTTGTTTTGAGAGATTTTAGCAGTTATATTTTCCAAGGATCTTTTGTATTTGGAAGTGAACCCAGACCCTCCCACATGCCAGGCAAGAGAGTGCCATACAAACTGAGCTATACTTCCAGCCCTTACAGTTATATCTTTTTTAAAGTTTTTTTAATTTTATTCGTGTGTGTGTGTGTGTGTGTGTATGTGTATGAGTGTATGCGGGTGTCTGAGGAGGCCAAAAGAGGACTTTGGATCCCCTGGAGCCACAGTTATAAGTAAACTACCCTCCTGGGTGCTGAACCATCTCTCCAGCCCCCAGTTAATATTTCATAAACTATGTTATTAGTGTAGTCTACAAAAATATGATTCTATAGAAGAAATCAAAATTGGGCGTTTCGGGACTGGAGAGGTAGCTCAATGGTTAAGAACACTGACTGTTCTTGCAGAAGACCCAGGTTCGAATCCTAGCACCCACATGGTAGCTAACAACTGTCCATAACTCCAGTTCCAGGGGATCTGACAGTCGCTTCTGTCCTCTGTGGGCATTGCACGACACGGGTGCACTTAACCTACATGCAGGCAATATACGCATACACATAGAATAAAAATAATAAAATATATATTTTTAAAATTGGGTGTTTCTTGAAATGTTTGTAAGTAAATTGAGTGTTTAAAAATCTTACAAGTACATGCCTTTAACCACAGCTCTAGGCTGCTACCTCTGATTTCTTGACCAGTCTGGTCTAAGTAGCCAAATTCCAGGCCAGCCAGGGCTACATAGTAAGACTTTGTTTCCAACATAAATTTTAAAAAATGATAATATCTTACATTTTAAACTATGTTAATGAGATTTATAGAAATGTATTATATCTTAGTTTTCTTTTAAAAAATTATATAAGTCATTTATACTATATTTTAAAATTACTTTTTATATAAGACTCCCCTGAAAAAAATACTCTGGCTGCAAAGTTATCTGCCAAGAAACAAGCATCCACTCACAGAAATGAAGATGATGATTTTCAAGTAGAGAAGAAAAGAATTCGACCCTTAGAAACTACACAGCAGGTAAACAGTTTATTGGCATTTACAACAATCTCGTTAAGTATAGCTGAACGTGACTGTAAATATCAATTTAAAAATATTTATTACTTTTAATATTTTTTTATTTTACATATATGAGTGTATTGCCTGCATGTGTGTTAGTGTACCTGTGTCATGTAATGCCTGCAGAGGTCAGAAGAAAGCATCAAATTCCCCTGAAACTGGAGTTATGGACAGTTGTTAGCAACCGTGTAGGTGCTGAGAATCAAATCTGGGTCTCCTGCAAGAGCAGCCAGTGCTCTTAAGTGCTGAGTCATCTCTAGTCCCTTATTTATTATTTTTTTATTTTGTGTATGAGTGATTGCCTGCATGTATGTAAGTGCCCTGTGTGTGTGATGCAGTGTCCATGGAGGTCAGAAGAGGGCGTTGGATCCCTTGGAACTGGAGCTATAGACGGTTGTTAGGTGCCATTTGTGTGCTGGGAACTAAACCCATGTCCTCTGTAAGAGCAGCCAGTGCTCTTAACTGCTGAGCCATCATCTCTCTAACCCCTAAATCTCTTTTTTAAAAGTAGAATGAACTAGCTTATTTTTGTAAAGATACCAAGTATAAATGAAATTTAATCTAGAGATTTTAATACATATACAGAGTTGGATGTTGTGAGGTGTACGTCAGTGGAAAGCATTTACTCTTTGACTTCATTGGCTATAATTTCACCCAGAACGAAGTTATCCATAGAAATCTGTTTGTGATTTAAGTAAATAGGGCTTTGGCCAGTGTTAATAGGCAAGGATGTAGTTTGGATGTGAAACAGGGATATTTATAAAATAAGTTTAATCAAATCTGGTTAATAGTGACCAAGTAATATATTCTATAATCAATAAGAAAATTGTGCTTTTTTCCTTTTTTATTTTTTTTTTCTTGGTTTTTTTTTTTTTTTTTTTTTTTTTCCCCCCACTCTAGAATGTGGCTTAAGTTTATTTTCCAATTAGATGCATGATTGGGCTTTACTCTAATACTGGATTTGATGTCTACATGGTATAGCTATTTTATAGGAAGATCATTATAATACTATAATTTTGATATATTACTGTTTGGTTAGGACCCAAGTTAGGTTACTTATTATGTTCTGTTGCATTTAAATGGTATTATGAGGTATGGTTTGTAAAAAATTATTACTAATTAGAAACAACCTTTTGGGGTAAAAGGATGGAATGTAGAAAAAATCCACAGAGCTGTCTTGAGCTTTGAGAACAACTAGGCTGCCAAGCTCTTAGTTCTTCATCTTGGTTCTATGTTTACAGATGAGAAAACGTCATTGTTTTGGAAAGGATGTCCACCATTTAGATGCAGGAGTAGCTTCAGGAAGGATGGCAAAACCTGACTCTCCTACAGGAAAGACAAACTTCTCTCCACAAAATGTATGTATTTATGCCACTGCTTAGTCTAAAGAAGGAAAATGTAGAATTTTCTAAATCCAGTTTTGAAAACAGAGAAAGAATAGTGATTTGAAGAGTAATAAAACAACTCAGATGCTAAGTAATGCCACATTATTTGTGTTTACTAATGTGTGAGATGGTAAACTCTCAGTTTCTCACTTATAAAGTAAATGAAGGAATTGTACTAAAAGGATATCTGAAAGTTCTTTTTTTCTGTTGCATTTCTAATGTTTTGTTTTTCTTTTAATTTTACATTATTTTTTTTGTGTGTATGTTTGGTGAATGGATGTGTTTGTGTGTGTGGTTGTGTGTATGTGGGTACATGAGCACATGTGTGTATGTGCATGTGAAGGCCAGAGGGCAATGCCAGGTGTTGCCTTCTATAGCTCTCTCTTTTTAAAAAAATATTTTTATTATTTTTTAATTTTATGTGTAGTGTACTGCCTGCATGTATGTGAGTGCACCCATGTTGTGCAATGCCGCGGAGGTCAGAAGAGGGCTTTGGATTCCCCTGGAAGTGGAGTTAGGACAGTTCATAGCCACCATGTGGGTGCTGGGAATCAAACCTGGGTCCTCTGCAAGAGCAGTCAGTGCTCTTAACCACTGAGCCATCTCCCCAGCCCCACTGTCTTCTTTTTTTTTTTTTTTAAAATGGGAAGTAATCGTTACACATTTATATAGACTTCTTATTTAAAACTCTGTATAGATCTTCTGCATATGTATAAGGAGCATAATTGAACTCGATCTAGGGGGAAAAAATAGGAGGATTATCAGATGCATTCTTGAGGCCACACTAGCCCTGTTTAGGTCTTCAAACCCCTAAACCAGATGGTCTTGACGTAAATTGCTCCTGGAATTGCATCACTCCCAATCAGTTTCTGGCCAATTCCTATTCAGCGTTCATTTCTCAGCTATCAGTATGGCCATGTCTGACACCCCAGTATAAATAAGCCCTGTCCCTTGTCCATTCTTGTTCCTTAGTAGGTGCTCCTTACTCATAAACTGTAGCAAAGTGTGGTTATGGTTATGCCTTTGTATGATTTTATGCTTTATATTATCTCTTGAACCAGACTACAGACTCCTTAGGAGGAAAAGACCAGGATTGGTATTGTCCCTCTGTGTACATCCCAACAGGATTTACCACTATAGAGACTTCTTAAACTATATGCAGATACATCATAAAAAGACATTAAAAGGAGTTATCCTATAACAAGGGACATTGCCCTTTCTAGACATCATAGGCTAATAAAAAAAACCAGAAAAAAAGAAACAAAAAAACCAAACCAGAACCGTCAGTGCCAGGAATAGACTTCTCTACTTCTTTTTCCCTAGTCACCACCCAGGGATTCTAGTCTTTGCTTCCATATATTTGAATTTTTAAAGGTTTTTTTTTTTCATACAGGTTGGATTATTAAGTGTTTTCTTCCTGTTTGTTGTTTATTTCACTAGTAAAATGTCCTCCAGGTTCTTCCATTTTGTTAAAAGTAGCAGCATCTCCTTTTCAAAGGCTAAATAATGTTCTGGGTATGGGTGTGGGTGTCATGTCGTTATCCACTTACCCGTCTATCATCAATCTTTTCTTTCTTTGTGCTGGAGTTCAGAATGCTCTAAAATCTCTTGAGTGCTTTATCACAGAGCTGCATACATTCTCAGCCCTCTGTCTAAACCTTGAAAGTGCCTGACTTTTATTATTTTTTTTAATTTTTATGTGTATGAGTGTATTGCCCACATATGTGTTAGTGCACTTCTGTTGTGCCATGCCCATGGAGGTCAGAAGAGGGCGTTGAATCCCCTGCAACTGGAGTTATTGACTGTTGTTAGCCGCCATGTTCGATGCTGGGAATCGAACTCAGGTCCTCTGCAAGGGTAGCCAGTGCTTGTAACCTCTGAGCCATCTCTCCAGTCCCTGAAGTTTCAAATTTTGAAGCATTTCAGATGCTTAACCTGAAGTTATATATTCATAGTTTTTATTTTTAACTGCTGCTAATGAAAGATATACAACAACTAATATTACATATTTGTAGTCTTTAAGTTCTGCTAAGAAGTATTATATGTTAGTAATGTTGAAATTATTAATGTAAAATTTGAGGAGTTAAATATAAAGTAAAATGAAGTAGAAAATTATTTTTTCTTAACATCTTGAGAGTGTTTATGGTTGAAACCTGTTTTGAGTCTAGGCTACTTGACCATGGCTGAGTACTTGAACTTGAAGCCAAATGCTTTGGTGGATTTTTTTTTTTTTCTTTCTTTCTTTCTTTCTTTCTTTCTTTCTTTCTTTCTTTCTTTCTTCTTTCTTTCTTTTTTTGCCTAGTACATTGATGAAGACTTTTTTTTTTTTTTGGTCTTTTGGTCTTTTTGAGACAGGGTCTCCCTGTAGCCCTAGCTGTCCTGGAACTCACTATGTAGACCAGGCTGGCCTTGAACTCACAGAGATCCACCTGCCTCTGCCTCCCGAGTGCTGGGATTAAAGGCGTGCACCACCATGCCTGGCCACATTGATGATGATTATTAATATTATGGTCTTCTCATGGGTAATATATAACTACATCTGTAGCTGTGTATCTGTATATTGGTTATTTTTGAGCCAGAAGTCAAATGTTTTCTTCTTTGGCTTTAGATGTATAGGTATAGCTATGCAGATGGAGTGGTTTTTCTTAAGTGAATGATTATTTCTCATGTTAAAGGTTTTGGTTTCCTCATAAGTTTGAAGATTTATTGAACAAGTTAAATCTCTCAATTATATTTCGCAACTCAAATGATAACGTTTCACTGGTGCTGCAACACAAAACTTTTGCTTGTTAGAAGACATGATAATATGCTATACTAATTAAACACACATACATTTAATAGAAACTAAAGCACTTTTGCAATACAGGGAACATATGGTTGGGTTCTAATAGTTGCACGCTCTTTAGTTTGTAATGAAAAGCATGAATACATGAAGTAATTTTATATAGTTTTTTAATGTCTAGGTAAAAAGTGCCACAAATTCTTAAGTTAGAGCATTCTAGATATTTTTACCCTGGTTACAGACAAATAGGATAAATGGTTACAATAGAAATAATTGTTATGAAATGTATAGTCTTGATAAACGTGCATTTAAAAATTTTTTTAAAATTTATTTTATGTGTATGAGTGTATTGCCTGCATGTAGGTAAGTGCACCTGTGTCGTACAATGCCTGTGGAGGACAGAAGAGGCCGTTGGATCCCCTGGAACTGGAGTTATGGACAGTTGTTAGCTGCCATGTGGGTGTTGGGATTCGAACCTGGGTCTTCTGCAAGAACAACCAGTGTTCTTAACCGCTGAGCCATCTCTCCAGCCCCTAAATGTGCATTTTTCATTTGTATTTTAGGGAAAAATAATTTATAATCTTAGTGAGTACTCAAGATATTTGGCACTAAACAGTGCATCTAGTTTTTCATAGATTCAAGACTAATAATCTCTATGGAAATAAAATAATATAAACAGGCAATTTTATTGAAAGGATGAGATGTTGACTATTAGAGAGGAGTTATGTTTTTCCTTTTAGGAAACTACTTTGATTGCTGATATTACTTTTTTTTTTTAGTTTTTGTAAAACATCATAAAAATACTATCTGAAGACTTTGTCGTAGTTTTAGGTTCTTTGTTTTTTTTGTTTTGTTTTGTTTTGTTTTTTTGAGACAAGATCTCCCTGTAGCCCCAGCTGGCCTGTAGACCAGGCTGGACTCAGTCTCAGAGAGATCCACCTGCCTCTGCCTCTCTCTGGGATTAAAGGCATATGCACGATGTCCAGTTTATGGAGATTTTTGGTACAGGTGATTTCATGTAGAAGTAGAACAGAAATAATATAACTTCATGCATATTAATTTTATGCTTTAATATTTGCTGCATAGTAGTTTTTTAAAGATATTTTAAAAAATTATACGAGCCGGGCGTGGTGGCACACGCCTTTAATCCCAGCACTCGAGAGGCAGAGGCAGGCAGAGCTCTGTGAGTTCAAGGCCAGCCTGCTCTACATAGCGAGTTTCAGGCCAGCTGGGGCTACAGGGAGACCCTGTCTGAAAAAGATTAAAAAAAAATTATACATCTATATGTGTATGTTTGAGTGGGAGTATGTGCATGTGAGTACAGGTGCCCATGAGGCCATAGGCATCAGATCTCCCAGGAGCTGGGGATATAGGCAGTTGTGAGTTGCTGATGTGGTTGCTGGGAATTGAAGTTGGATCCTCTGGAAGAGCAACAAGTGCTCTTAACTGTTGAGCCACCTCTCTAGTCCTTGTATAGCAGTTTTTGAAATTAGTTTATTGTCAGTGTTTTCAGATAAAGTAGAAAAATGAAATCCTGTTTTGGAACTTTTCTCATGGTAAAAGATGATATGCCTCATATTTCATCTATCTTATTTTAAAGTTTTGGTTGTTAAGTCTTAGCCTTTAATGGCTGCGCTATCCCTCCAGCCCACATCTGTCTTATTTAAACTTTACTTTTTTATTATTACTATATGTGTATGTATGATGTGTGTGGGGAGAGGGAGGTGCACATGGAATGCATGTGATGGTCAAAGGACAACTTTGTAGAGTCAGTTCTCTCCTTTTACTATTATGTGGATTCTAGAGATGGAACCCAGTTCATTAGGCTTGCACTGAAAGCATCCTAACTGCTAAGCCATCTTATGAGACTTGTCTGTCATATTTTAATCTAAAGAGTTTTTGTGTGTGTGGTGCTTGAGATGGTATTCAGTGCCTTGCTGTCTAATTCAGTGCCAAGCATTCTACTGTTGAGCTTTATCTCCAGTCCCCAGGAAAAGTTCTATTCATAAAATTATGACTTAGGTTTCTTATCCCAACACAGGTATGTTAGGACTATGTTATAGTCCTAACACTTTTGTTGTTGCCATTTGTTTTTGTTCTTTGAGACAGGCGCTCATTCTGTAGCCTAAGCTGGTCTAGAACTTACTATGTTGCCCAGGCTGCCTTAGCCTCTGGACTATTCCTATGTAGT